AATGTGTGCAAATGTGCATTTTGTCCATCATTAAAACGGCGGCATTACGTTTTCATCACCAGGTGTTTGTTGCAGCTATATGGGCGCAGCACTCAGTTTCAAATACATAAATTATGAGCCTTTATAGACATAGTGTTTCTTGCGTAAAGAAAACGCTGTACTTATTCAAACAACAAGATCTTTATTTACCCTTGCAGACCTAGTTCAGCTGCTGTGGAACTTCAGTTCATTCAGTCAAGATAGAGGGGGTGGAGTTATGAGGTTTACTGACAGTTTGAGCGGATCCAACAAGATTTAGTCACGAGCTCTTTTTAATACCTTTCATTAGCTAAATATTTGTAAAGCAGACAGACAGATGTAAAGGGTGCCCAATATTATTGATTTATTGAAGGAAAAAAAAAAAACACCATCACCAAAAAAAGGGCACTTCGGAGTGTAAGGGCAAAAAGGGCATGTGCTCTGCACAGGTTGAGCCCTACCTGTGCACGTGCCTGCTGAACACATACTTTGAACAAACAATCCTAACACACTATGAACATATTCTGAACACACTATATCTTAAATTAAAAAGTGTAATTATCCATAAGCTTAGGGTAAACTAAATGCATAAATTAAAGAAATTCAATTATCCATAAGCTTAGAGCACACTCAAGGCTTGTAGTGTGTGCTTGGTTTAAAAAAAAAAGTCACACTACTAATGGACTTCACGCATGGTCACTTCTGCAGTTAGAGCAGGTTTGATCGGTTAACACAAGCACAATAAGGATGGCTTTTACACTCATAACATGTCAAAGGTGTCATCATTGACTGAAAGACTGTCACTCCGTCACTATTCAGGTGGAAGCCAAGCAACACTTTTGGATTTTTGCACCATGCAAGCAAACACTCGGCAAAAGTCACATGGTGCCATGAATTATTCAGAGACACTGCAGCAACAGCACATTATTATATTTGGTGACACTGACTCAATGTTAAACTCAATTTCAAACCTAGAAGATGAAAACAGTCCAAAAAAAACTCTTAATCACCCTTAAAATTAAAAATAACAGATGCAAACAAACATCACATGGCAAGCAACACGTATCAGTTTCCCTTGTCTAATGCGTTACCCAAGCATCTTGTCCTGGATGAAATGGCGAAACATTTTCTTACATCAAATGTAACGAGGCGCACTCAGCGTGGGTGAACTCTCTGAACCACAAACGAAATAGGAAAATGTTCTAAACCCAATCGAATCTGCGGTTCGCCCTCTCAATGATGCATTGCCTGTGAAAAGCCTTGCATTACTAGATCCTTTCACAATGCGACAGTGATGAATGAACAATCCTCGTTTTAAATGACTCTAAAATAATATGCTGAACAGTGTTTGTTTGCTTGTTTTGAGTTTCTTAAAGTGAGTGTGTAACCTTGAAACGTCCTCAAAGATAAGCTCAGGTATCAGGTAGCCTAGTTCAGGTAACGGTTTCAAAAAAAGAACTAACTAACTAACTAACTAACTAACAAACACTGATAATAAGATAATTTCTTGAGCAGCATTTTAGCATATTAGAATGATTTCTGAAGGATCATGTAACACTGAAGGCTAGCGTAATGATGCTGAAAATTCAGCTTTGCATCACAGGAATAAATTACATTTTAAAATGTATTAAAATAGAAAACAGTTACCTTAAATTGTAATAATATTGCACAATTTATTACTGTATTTTTGATCAATTAAATGGAGCCTTGGTGAGCATAAGAGACTTATTTCAAAAAAATTTGACCAACCCCAAACGTGTAACAACCCCAAAATTTAGTTGTATCAGGTACAAAAACAATAAGGATGCCAGTAACAGTGACGGAATATACGCTAAATAAATATACCTGCAAAACCTAAAAATATAAACATTTAATTACAAAAAAAGATGTAAAAAGCCATGCATGGGCAAAAATGACTCTTGAAAACTGTAGAAATGTTACAAACGTCACTACTTTCAGAATGTTGCGGTTACACTTTATTTTAAGGTGTCCTTGTTAAAGTGTAATTATACATTTAAGTACTGAGTAATATTAATTAACTACATGTACTTACTACATGGTTAGGGTTTGGCTTAGGGTTACTTCCATGTAATTATGCATAATAATTAATAGTAATTATAATAGTAAGTACATGTAACGTGTAACAAGGACACCTTAAATTTTTTTTTACCAAAGTTACTACCCAGCACTGATCTGGGAGGAAATGAGTGTTTAAGAAAACACATTATTTTCAGTCACGTCAGAGAACATTGGCTCTAAACCACTCAAACTCTCACTCTCTATCAGTCTCATCGGGTCAAAACCATTGAAAGGTTAATTGATCAACCTGCTTAAGTCCTGAAGTGAGGAACTCTATTTCTGACAGTGTAGGAAAGAAATATCTTAGTCTCTTGAATAAATGGCCCGTACTACTAAAACTGACAATTTTATATGTGAAAGAACAACCACACATGAGATCTCTACAATCTCTCAATTGCTTCTCCTAGACAGTAATGAGATTACATTCTCATAGAATATCTTGCAAATCTCTAAATGTTAGTTGTACAAAGGGATCATGTAGAGCTGAAATCATATAAATGAATGAATATTGATTACAAATGTTGGTGCATTACCTGCTACCCAGACCATGATCAGTATTTCTGTCCAGGAGAATTGTGTGGTCTTGACTCTGAAGATCTGGAGCGGGTGGTCAGTGACGGTGACGTTGGGAAGGGTGGTGATGCCTTCAAACCGATCGGATGCATTGAACACCAGCAGACACAGGAAGATGATAAAGGAGGCCGCATGAGCAACAAACTTCATAAAAGGACTGCGTAGTATTTTACCAAGCTGAGAAAACATGGAAAAGATCAACAAATATGTTGAATAACAAACACAAACTCATTATACTGGAAAAACAATTTATTTGTGTAAAATTGACACAATTTTCACTCAGCAATCACTAGTAAATGTCACAAATAATTACAAAGACATGGCACGTAAAACACTGAATTAAATATGAATTTTGAAATAGAAAGACTGTAAAACTCCAAAAATCTTTGTTTTATCTACAACTTTAAAAAATATTTTTTATAGTGTAGCATTGCATGCATCTTAAAAATGGCAGATACTTTAGACAGCAGCGTTATTTTACTATCACTGAGGTACTATTTTAGTTTGTATTAATATTTTAGATCAGTTTTTATTTTTATATTTTGTTTTCATTTTAATTTTAGTTAAAGGGTTAGTTCACCCCAAAATGAAAATTCTGTCATTAATTACTCACCCTCATGTCGTTTAAAACCCGTAAGACCTTCGTTCATCTTCAGAACACAAATTAAGATATTTTTGATGAAATGTGAGAGCTCTCAGACCCTGCATAGACAGCAACGCAACTGTACCCAGGTCCAGAAACGTAGTAAGGACATCGGTAAAACAGTCCATGTGACATCTGTGGCTCAACTTCAGTTTTGCGAAGCTACGAGAATACTCAGCGTTGTTTAAGCTTAGGGGAAAGCGTGCGTATGCATTGTGATACTCTCTAAAATGGCGGAAGACGTAACTCGGGGGAGAAGAAATGTTAAATAAATTATATTATTTTTGTTTTCTTTGCGCTTTTCTTTTCTTTTATTCTTTTACCGATGTCCTTGCTACGTTTCTGGACCTGGGAACATTACAGTTGCATTGCTGGTCAGACAGCTCTCACATTTCATCAAAAATATCTTCATTTGTGTTCCGAAGATGAACGAAGGTCTTACGGGTTTGGAACAACATGAGGGTGAGTAATTAATGACAGAATTTTCATTTTGGGGTGAACTATCCCTTTAAAGTTTTAGTCAATTTGTTGTGCGCTTTCATCATTTTTAGTAGCTTTTTGTTTTATATACTGCATGTCTCTATAATTTTTATTCATTCTTATTTCAGTTTTATTTAGTGCATCAAGTTAAACTAAATTAATATGAAAATGTTTCCTTGGCAACTATAGCTGAAATAATTTTTTTATTTTGTATTTTATTTTATTTCTGTTAACGTTTATTTTATTTCAGTTTACATTAATGTTTTTAATTGTTTTGTGAAAAATTAAATGGACAGGAGATGAGAAAAATAAAGAGAGACTATGATAGCAGCATTCAAAAGTAGCTGTGTATTAGGGCTTTCAAAATTACTGAAAAACTAAATTCGAATATTCTACTTAAATATGATCAAAATTCGAATTATATTCAAATTTAAAAGGCATCATTTCAGTTAGGGGGAACAAGCTTTTGGCTTTTCTCCTAAAGCCACAAGAGGGCGCATCGAGCAAAATATTATGCACGTTTCTTCAAAGCGTAATAAAATAACAAGACTATCTTTGAAAAAAAGTGCATAATGTTTAAAATAATGTTTATAAACCATATATAATTAATAAAGTTGCTTAAACAATTAACGTTTTTGCATTCGAATGTGGATTTTATTTTTAAATCGATGAATATTCGAAATTTGATTTTTTTTTTACAGCCCTACTGTGTATTCTGACACAATAAGACTTTTTGTAATTTATACATTACAAATGTGTCACCTTACTGCCAGGGTTATTATAGTTAACTAAAACTAAAACCAAGGAAATATTTATATTTTTCATTTAGTTTAACCTCATGTATTAAAATAACTATTTAAATTTTTTTTTTATTTCAAGTAACATTTTATGTTACTATTTTATTTTATGTTTACCATTTTATTTTATATTTTATGTTTTTATTTATAATTTTAGTTTTAGTTAACAATAATAACCATCATAGCAACAAAAGTGACTTCACAAAGTTGACATGATCTGCAGAGAAAATACTAATACTAAATAGATAAATAAATACTAAATAGACTATACTAATAAATAACAAGTGTGTCTAAAATGGTACTGCAGGACCCAAGCATGTTTTTGACAGGTTTTTAATGTGTCTTACTTTACTGCATGGGGCAAACCAATATCCCACAGCTAGCAGAGGGAGTCCTAGCGCCACCACCAAAACCACCAGACACTTCACTGCAATGGTTTGCTCCCGAAGACCAGACAGATTCTCATACCAGATCGTCAGCAACTGTTGCTGACAGTTCGGATGAGCCACAAACTGCAGAAACAGAGACAGATTCATGATATAACTGTAGGCATTTGGTAGCACCTTACTTGAATCCTTTATGTATATTGCATATTCATTTATAATGTACGTGGTAAAGCATTATATCTTTTCATGTATAATTATAACTAAAGCTAAAATGCATTTTAATATTTGTAGATTCCTTGTTACATTGGACATTGGCTGTTTGTGTTTTAAAGCATTATACTTTCTAAAGGTGTAGCAATTAATGGATAAATATTATAATGTACTGTGTATCTGTGTTTACAATTATTCATGAGCTCATACTATGCATTGTAAGGTGCATTACAGGGCCTAAGTAATACATTAAAAATACATTTATAATTAATTATGTATAAAGGCTTCAAATAAAGCTCTACTGTATTCATAATAATTCTATTCAGCAAGGCCCCATTAAATTGATCAAGCGACAGTAAATGGTTTATAAACCATATATAATTAATAAAGTTGCTTAAACAATTAACGTTTTTGCATTCGAATGTGGATTTTATTTTTAAATCGATGAATATTCGAAATTTGATTTTTTTTTTACAGCCCTACTGTGTATTCTGACACAATAAGACTTTTTGTAATTTATACATTACAAATGTGTCACCTTACTGCCAGGGTTATTATAGTTAACTAAAACTAAAACCAAGGAAATATTTATATTTTTCATTTAGTTTAACCTCATGTATTAAAATAACTATTTAAATTTTTTTTTTATTTCAAGTAACATTTTATGTTACTATTTTATTTTATGTTTACCATTTTATTTTATATTTTATGTTTTTATTTATAATTTTAGTTTTAGTTAACAATAATAACCATCATAGCAACAAAAGTGACTTCACAAAGTTGACATGATCTGCAGAGAAAATACTAATACTAAATAGATAAATAAATACTAAATAGACTATACTAATAAATAACAAGTGTGTCTAAAATGGTACTGCAGGACCTAAGCATGTTTTTGACAGGTTTTTAATGTGTCTTACTTTACTGCATGGGGCAAACCAATATCCCACAGCTAGCAGAGGGAGTCCTAGCGCCACCACCAAAACCACCAGACACTTCACTGCAATGGTTTGCTCCCGAAGACCAGACAGATTCTCATACCAGATCGTCAGCAACTGTTGCTGACAGTTCGGATGAGCCACAAACTGCAGAAACAGAGACAGATTCATGATATAACTGTAGGCATTTGGTAGCACCTTACTTGAATCCTTTATGTATATTGCATATTCATTTATAATGTACGTGGTAAAGCATTATATCTTTTCATGTATAATTATAACTAAAGCTAAAATGCATTTTAATATTTGTAGATTCCTTGTTACATTGGACATTGGCTGTTTGTGTTTTAAAGCATTATACTTTCTAAAGGTGTAGCAATTAATGGATAAATATTATAATGTACTGTGTATCTGTGTTTACAATTATTCATGAGCTCATACTATGCATTGTAAGGTGCATTACAGGGCCTAAGTAATACATTAAAAATACATTTATAATTAATTATGTATAAAGGCTTCAAATAAAGCTCTACTGTATTCATAATAATTCTATTCAGCAAGGCCCCATTAAATTGATCAAGCGACAGTAAATGCATAATGATAAATATACAGTAATGCTACAAAAAACATATCCATTTTAAATCAGTGCTTTTCTTATGAATTTTCTATTCATAAAAGTATCCTGAAAAAATAAAATAGTTTCCACGAAACACAACTGTTTTCAACATTGATAATCATAAAAAATGAGCAGCAAATCGTAGGATCATGTGACACTGAAGCCTGGAGTAATGATGCAAAAAATTCGCATCACAGAAATAAATTACATTTTAACATATATTCAAATGGAAATGGTTATTTTGAATTGTAAAAATTTTGATTAAATAAATGCAGCCTTGGTGAGCATAAGGGTTTTTTCCCTCTACACTCTCAGAAAAAAAAGGTACAAAAGTTTTCACTGTGGCAGTACTTTTTCAAAAGTAGGTACTAATACTGTATGTACCTATAAGGTACCAAAATGGACTCTATAAGTACAAATGTGTACATTTGAATTGATGCAAACTAGTTAAAAATCGCTGTTTAACACTACAAATAATGTCTGGTATGACCATAAACACTGGAATATGGCTTTGTTTAAAGATATAACTTTGCGTGCGAGGATGGCATCTTGCAAAGTTTGCACAAGACGTCTCCATAGCAACAAACCACGGAGACATCCCAGCGCACACGTAACTCATCTGTGCTGAATGGTGCAGAAACGAGTTCTGCTCATTATTATGTTATGTGGAATCACTGACCAATGAATTGGACAGGAAAGACAACAAAGAGAGGCAGTGAAAGCAGTTCAGTGGTCCAGTCCTGCTCTTAAACATTCAGCAGATCCTTTACCCTAGATGACCATTCAAAAGTAGCTGTGCATTTGGCCAAATAATAAAAAAAATGCATATAACTTCAAATCAAATGGTGTCAAATGGTCTTAGATTTAGCTTACTATAATAACCCTGTTGATGTAAGAAGATTAACTAAATCTAAGACCATTTGAGACCGTTTGAAATTATATGCATTTTTAAGAAAACATTTTTAATTTTAATCACTGTCCTAAACACTTTAGTTGTTTTTTTGCAATAATAATAATAATAAATGTATTATTTTATTTCAACTAGCTAACTGCCAAGAAAACATTTCTTATTAATTTTTCTAATTACTTTACCTTGATGTACTAAAACCTATAAGTAAAAAAAATATTTTTTTAAAAGGAACAACCTTACAAAGACAAAAACACAGCAAAATTACAAAAACTTTGATTAAAATTTAAATGAAAATAGAAAATATTAAAATAAAAAAAATATTCAGAATATTCATAAAAACTATACTAGTATTATAATTTATTACTGTAAATGTTTTGGAGGCTCTTAAAATAATTATCTTCAACTTTCTTTCACGTAACAAGTCACATTATATCAGTAAATTACATCTTGCTGAAGCAATAAGTTTTTTTTATTTAGTAAAAACACTTGATAATTTTGCTCGTTCAGGTTTGCTGACATGGAAATATCTTTGAAGAGAGAATGTGTGGTTGAAGGCAGTAAAATGGCTCAGTTTTTTTTTTTTCAATTTTACCTGTAAGAGTGTTAATGAGACGTTTTGCTACCAAAGTTCACGAAAACCCTCTCCATTCCACGCCATTGTCAGAGAATCCAACACGTGTTTTGTGGGCCACGTACACACACACACACACACACACACACATGTTGTGTTTCCATGTTTTATGGGGACATTCCATAGGCGTAATGGTTTTTATACTGTACAAACTGTATGTGCTATTGCCCTACACCACCCCTGCCCATAAACCTACTCCGCACAGGAAACTTTGTGCATTTTTACTTTCTCAAAAAACCGAATTCTGTATGATGTATAAGCTTGTTTCCTCATGGGGACCTCAAAAATGTCCCCACAAGGTCAAAATTTACTAGTATTACTATCCTTGTGGGGACATTTGGTCCCCATAACGTGATAAATACCAGGTACACACACACACACACACACACACACACACACACACACCACCTCCTGTGTGCCTGTCGTTCTCTATTAAGGTAGTAGGTTAATTAATTTGAGTCCTGAGAGAATAACAGGTGTTAATTTCACGCCTGTCCTATAAACCCCTTCCTGCCATAAATTACGAGGCTCAGAATAAATGACTTGAAAATACATCCACATAATTATATGAAAGAATGTGAACTCAGGACGAGAGAACAGCTATGAATAACAGACCACAATTAGATTACTGAGAAAATGAAATATCTTAGAACAGGGACATCCAGTTTTAGTGCTTTTTGTTTTATTTAACCCATATTTAGCATATTTAATATACTATATTCATGTATTATCTGCACACTTACAAAACTGTAACACTACAATGTACATACAGTATAATATTCACATACAATTACATATAATATTCAAATATATTAGATGAATACAGATCATATAAGTTCATTATTAATATATTTAACATCATTATATATAATATATGAACATATTTAAAATATTATATTTACATTAAAAATAATGTTTAAAATATTACATCATATTTGAATATAGATAAACTGTATGTAATATAATTAAAAAATAAATAATAAATACATATATATGTGTGTATGTCTGCATTAGTATATATTATATTTGAATTATATTATAAAATATGTTCAAATAAAATAATACATATATGTCATATATTAAAATATTATGTATAATATTATATATGTTAAACTATTCATATATAACTATATTAGATGTATATAGATCATATAAAAAGTTTAATATTAATACATTAAATATTATATATAATATCTGACCATATTTAAAATATTTTATTTACATTATCAAATAATATAATAGAGATATAATAATACATAGATACTGTATGTAATATAATTAAAATATAAATAATAAATGTATATACATATATGCATTATTTTATAAAATATTATATATAATATAGATATATTAGATAGTATTATATGTAATGTTCTACCATTATATATATATATGAAAACACATCAATACACATTATATATTAAAATATTATACACAATATTATTTATGTTAATAAAAGTATATATTAATATAATAATAATATATAAAATATTCTAATATAATATGACTGCATCTTTTATATTATAATATAATATCAGAATGTTATATTAGGATATAAATAAGTTGAAGAATCCATAAACATGTCAGCTTATAAATTAACAATACAATAATTTGTTCTAGCAGGTATATTGTGGCCCATCCAAACAGACAGCATCACACTAAACGCTGGCACTCTAAATAGTTTAAATCCCCGGAGAAGCATCACAGACATTATTGTAATCCACTAAACTGTGCCTGCCGTCCCCACGATCATCATGAGCGCAGGATCTGTGGCCCGCGGCGGCCCTTTCACTCCTGTCATTAGCAAAGAGCTGTCCTAGAGCCACAGCGAGCACCATCTGATCCTCTGCGAGCGGCCGGCAGGGACAATCCGGCTCATTACAACACAACTATCAGCGTCAAACACATCTGTCAATCTCCTTCAGAGAATGCTGATGCTCGCTAAAGTCTGAATGTCTGAGTTTGGACTCCCTCTGCCCCGCCACAGCTACCACGACACATTCAAGAAGATTTATGAAAGCAAGAAGGAATAATAAATCTAATAGGTGAATGGATATTAAACCCAGAGCAGAGCTTAAAGGAGGGATGACTCATAACTAAACTGCAACCATCCAAAACAAGTAACCATACTACATGAATCAAATATAAAATCTAAATATTTCATATTTGTAAATAGTATTATAAAAATAAATAAATTAGACACTTTTAATTAACAGCTACCTTGCAACCAAACACGACACCACAGCAACCACCCAAACAACCCTAACAACCAACCAAAACACCCTAGCAACCATATTTAAACTGACAAATATTTTAAAATATTATTAAATATAATATTCAAATACAGATTTATTAGATGTAATATTCAAACATTATGTAAAAGATAAACAATTAAAATAAATAAATAAATAAGAGTGTTTTTCATATTTATTTTTATTAAAATAAAAATATAAAATATTTCTAATGAAATAATATATTTTAATTAATATATCTCTAAAAATATAGTTTCTGAAAATTCCGCCCCTATTTTCAGGCCTTGTTTGTTGAACAAATCTTGAACTGAATTGAGCAGAATAATGAAACTACTGTCTTCTGCTTTATAGTTGAAGCAATGGTCAAGCAACCACTAATCACTAAAACCACTAAAATTAAATACAAGCAATCTATATTAAAGGTAATATTCAAACATTACCTAAATAATAATTTATAATAAATAAGTACTGACATTTTTAAACATTTTATCAGCCCAGCTGGTATAACTGCTGCTGCTGTTTCCTGAATAATGGTTTCGATTTTGGTAGATGGTCTGAGATTATTCACTGTCTCCTGGTGTGCGTGAGATCCATTGGTTTTGTCGAGAGCAGCTGTTGGGGCTTGGTGTTTCTGCTGATAAGTAAATGGTGCTTGGAGGGAATCCAAATGGCAGTGAGAGACCCTTGAAAAGGTTCCTGAGGTGTTGTCTTGTCATCTCAGGTTATACTCACACAAAA